GTGCCTGAGGACCCGAATGCTCTGGCTCAATTTTCAATTTTCAAAGTTAAAAAGGGGCATGACTCTAGAAAAGTAAGTGACTCGCTGTCCAAATTCGAACTCTGTCTGCATGTTTTGTTCTTTAGCATTGTGTATGAGCTTCATAAAATTTTTATGAGGCAAACTTATGTGTTAGAGTGCAAAAACGAAAATATGACGGACGGAAGGACGGTCGGTCAGGGGTAACACTTAATGCACCCGTTGCCTAAGCGGGGGCATAGAAATGATTTCCTTGGATTGAGTCCTATCTGTAATTCGGTTTCTTTTTTAGTGTTAAATAATTACATTTCATTTTTGTTTCATCAGAATTCGTAATTTTGATTTGGCTGACAACAATCCAGAGGCACTCCAATATCAAATTCTATTTCCTTATAAAATACAACAGATATGACTGCACGTGCTATCCGTGACAATGTTAAAACAATGCATAGAAAAATAAACGAAAAGCTTGAAATAACTCTTAATGTCATGGTTGTAGCATAAAAAAAGTAATTATAAGAATTGAATGCTTCTTTTTATAATGATTTAGGGTTCGGTCAACGCCTAAACATCCCATAAAGTTATAAAAAGAAGCGTTCAACTTTTAGATGCAATCTCCCTTGTTCGTAAGTTTAAGAATTGTCATATTTTACACAAAAAAAAGCATTCAATATTTGAATGCAATCGCCTTTGTTCGTAAGTTTGAAAATTGTCATATTTTTCAAAAAGAAGCATTCAATTTTAATACAATCTCCTTTGTTCGTAAGTTTGAAAATTGTCATATTTAAGCCAAAAAAAAATGATAAAAAAAAGGTCTTCCTGTAAATGCTTCCATAGCAACTTTTATTATTGTCTTTCTCATTAAAATGTTTGTAAGATAGCGTGTTCTCCTTTAATTTTTTATGTGTCTCAGAAAGCGGTAATGGTCTTCTTACTATCTTTCATACTAGGCCTCGGTGGCCAAGTAGTCTAAGTAGTCAAACTATTGTAGCCTGTCAACACTGAGGTTGTGAGTTCGAATCCCTCACGTCTCAATCTTTATTGACTAGAATGGTCAGTTTTCCTACTGGAGGTCGGTGGTTATCTCCGGGCACTCCGGGTTCCTCCACCCATAAAACTGACCGCCACGAAATATCACAATAGTTCTGAAAATTGCGTTAATAATTTTTTTTGATTTTAGTTCATTTATATGTTTTGGAGTTTAGTGTGACGTCCATTTTCACTGAACTAGTACACATTTTTGTTTAGGGGCTAGCTGAAGCCCGCCTCCGGGTGCGGGATTTTCTCGCTGTGTTGAAGACCCATTGGTAGCCTTCGGCTGTTTTCTGCTCTTTGGTCTGGGTGTTGTCTCTTTGACACATTCCCCATTTCCATTCTCAATTCTATTAAACATCAATCAATCAATCAATCAATCAATCAATCAATATTTTAAACCTCTTGTCATTGATAGTAAAATAAGAAGATATGGTATGATTGCCAATGAGACAACTCTCAACAAGAGACGAAATGACACAGAAATTAACAACTATAGGTCATCGTACGGCCTTCAACAATGAGTAAAACCCATACCGCATAGTCAGCTATAAAAGCCTCAAAATGACAAATGTTAAACAATTCAAAGAAAAACTAACGACAAGATTTATGTACAAAATAATGAACGAAAAACAAATATGATATACAGCAACAAACGACGACCACTGAATTACAGGCTCCTGACTTGGGACAGGCACATACAGAATGTGGCGGTGTTAGACTAGTTGGAAGGCGCCAACCCTCCCCTAACCTGTGACAGTGGTGTAACAGTACAACATAAGAACAAACTAAATAAATCATTTGAAAAGGGCTTAATTCATCAGATGGATACAAAGCAGAAATACATCTAACAAAAACACAGAGTGGACGTGGCAGGGTACTTATACATCCCCACAACAAAAAGACATCAAGTACAGATCTGAGAGTACCCGCAGTTACTGACAGCTAGTTCAAAATCAATAACAACTTATGAAAAAAATCATGCATCTAAGGTCATTGAGCATGTTGAGGTTTGTGTATATTCATTGTAACTAGATTATAATGCAATATCAATATTGTCCTTTTAGTCAAGTGATTTTTTTTGCAAAATATCATTAAAATTCGATACTTTTACAACAAATTCTAATTGAGTGTTGTTGTTTTGATATACATGTAGTATTAAGTCTTCCAAGATAATGATAGTAAACATTGTTGATTTTGGGTAAAATAATAGTTTTTTTAATATAGAAAATCAATGAAAACAAAAAAAATAGATGTTTATGCCATTAAGGGGGGGTCTTAATTTAATCAATAGATTTTTTTAATAATTTGTCAAAATGTAGTTTTTATCATGCTTTTTTCCAAAATATAATAAAAAGTATGGGTCACCGGACTTTTTTTTCACGCTACAGGTTGTGCAAAATTGTCAGATTTTTTATAGATTATGCATTGAAAATCCAATTTTATGTGATAAAAAGAAAACTGCACCATAGAATTTTAAGATAAAATGTGAGAAGATAGCTCTTATAACATGCTTTCAGATAAGAAAAAGAAAAAATGGGGTCACCCGACTTGTTTTCTTGCTACATATTAAAATAGGTTAATTCATAACACTTTCTATTATAAAAATATAAAAATTACTTTATCTGAGTTATCTCCCCTACTATCTGAGTTATCTCCCCTTATGTGTCAAAGTAAAAAAAAAAACAACAAACAAACAAAAATATTGTGTTTTTTAGAAAATACAGTCGTAAATATGATAAAACACATAATTTTCTATATAAACATGAAAAGTCTTACACATGAATTACATACTACTCTCAAATTTGCACATTTGATTAAAGATCTAGACCAATTGTTATCTGCTACTTCAAAATCCAAGATGGAGGAAGACACCCCAGCCACCTTAAGGGAGCAAAATCTTTCTATACAATGTTTAAAACATCACGAACACGATTGTATAAGGAAACTGGCAAAATTTCAGGACTAGAAATAAGTATTTTGATAAACTCTTTGAAAACAGGAAACCGGAAAATTTGTCATATGTTATTCTATTTAAAACTTCACCAACATGATTGTATAAGGAAACTGAAACAAAATGATGAGCAGAAACTAGTATGATCTGGGGAAAACTAACATTTTTATCAGAGAATCGTCGAAAACAGGAAATTTGTCTAATGTAAAGCAAATTAACTTGAAGATTTCTTTGTCAATATTTAAAATCTTTGTCATAAAACTAAATCAGACAATAAAAAAACACAGCATAGTCCAACTACAAACAGGATGACCATTAACTTGAACAAATTAGGGGGAGGGGGAGGGAGGAGGGGCAGACAATTTGGAAAGCAGAGTCAAAGTGTGATCGACACTACATGAAGCTAGCGAAAGCATCTACACCTGTCGGATGGATACTGCCGGTTAAAACAAAAACAAAATTTGAAGCCAATTTCCATATTTCTCTTCTTTATTTCATGCGAAATTATAGAGAAACAAATGTACCATTAAATTCATAAGTTGAAGAAAAGGCAGACGACATAAAGGCATATACAAAACAACAGTCCGCAACATACTTCACATAAAACTAAAGATTTGGTAACATGCACCGCTAAGTATGTTCTTGCTTCTAGTAGTATCGTCGTGTTGGGCATGAATGACAAGTCAAAATAATTCGATTTGTCTTGAACAAAAAAAAAAATGGAGATATATGTAGTAAAACTGAGCCTTTTTATGGTCATCAGTGACACATTTATTCTATAATGGTCAACAAATTCAGGAAGATTTTTTCTATCAACCCTATATCAAAGAAATCCTTTTAAGAAATCACGTGTTAAAGAAACTTTTGTCCTTTGTCTCGGGAAGCACGTGTTTTTTTTTAGTTTTACTGGATTATCATCTAGAAATGTCTTAAGGAATATATTACCTTAGCTGTAATTGGCAAAACCTTTCGGAATCTTGGATCGTAAAATAGCAGAAAACAATGAAATAAGAAAATTTTGAGACAAGAATGCAACTTCTTAGGAAGACTTTTCATTTCATTGAAGAACAATGTCTGATTAGTTCTTATTATTTCAACTGTTTGTACAGATACAGATATCAATATGTTTGAATGATTAAAAAAATAATAAATTTAGCTTTATAAGGGGAGCCAACTCGGATAGATTAATTTTATAAAAGAATGCACAATTATTTGTTCTTTTTTTTATTAAAGCAATAAAAGACGTACGGTGACCCAAATGTTTCTTTAAATTATCTAAACGTATTTCATGAGAGCTATCCTCTTATATTTGTTTTTCTTTCAAAATACTCTCAGTTAGGTTTCTTTGTATTCACATTTATTTTCTCTCCATATACTCTCATTTAGTTTCTTGGTATTCACATAGTAACTAGTTTCGCTTCAAAGCAAAACTTATTGTCCCTGTTATTTACTAGCTTTTCTAGCCGTTCTTGTTAAAAATACTCTATAGAAATGAAAAATACTTATTCAACTAGAAAGACTGGTAGATTTGACTAGAAAGGCAAGTAAATTAACAAAATACACTGCTTAAAATTTCTGTTACTTGGTAAGTTAATACATCCTCTAGTTAATTTTTTTTCAATGAGATGGATAATGCCTACGTGATATTTTTTTTTCACAACCTTAAAAACAATTAAGTTTGGTGACCTATAATTTTCCTTATATTTCTGGAAAAAAGCACGATATAAACTACATTTGTATACAAAGCATGATGGTTCTTCTTTTTTTAAATACCAAATATACTACCTTAAGCACATCATGATTATCCTAAGTCGAATTAAATGCTGTAATTGTTTTTATGGAAACAGATGCTCTAACTGTCTATTGTGGAAAATTTATTTTTCTTTCTAAATGCCTTTTGTTGCTGAATCATCAAATAAATAAACATTCCACAGTATCTTATATAAATTTGAAGAATGTTGTTATATAAATTAAGAAGCTGTTTATAATTCTATAGGTGATTGATGCTGATAAAAGATGAAAAAAGACTGATTATTTTGGATCAAAGTTGATCTTCAGAGGCTCAAAAGTTTAATCATGACTTCGATGTCACATCTTACAGATGAAGAGAGAAACTTCGCCAGATTTTTCTTTCTCAACTTTAAAGTATCACCCGACATTGTCAGGCGATTTTTTGACGGAGTGTTTCCGCCAAAAGTCTTAGCTCAAACTATTAACAGTAATGTGTGTGCCATCATCAAATTACACAACAAACATAGAATCAATGCGGTCCAATTAGAAATATTAAAGGGTGTAACAGGAACGATATGGCCACCCTCACTTCCTTCGACGTCAGTTGGAACAAAAGGTAAATATTTTTATATTGTTATTAGTTTTTCTAATGCACATTCTGTTTTCAAATAGGAGTAAAATATTGAGCCATACTTTTCAATTTGATTGTGAACAATTACACTTGTGTTATTGTACCACGATAAAGAATCGCGACTTTTCTGTCAATTCAAGAGAGAAAACTTACGGCCGAATGTAAACAAATGACTATATGAATGGTAATCTTCGATTGAGTTTTAGAGAGGAGTGCATTAACATGACGTTTTTCAGTTACTGCTCTATCCAACCCAGCAGTTGACCGCTTTTCATAGGAAAAGCAAATATTAGGAAGAGCTTAGACCAGTGCATTAAATTCGATCTCAATGCACTGTCTGGATCGGTCTCTTTGGAATGTGAAAAATGAGAGAACAAAACAAAATTAGATAAAAAAAAATAGAATACATGTAGAGACACCAAATCAACAAATCATCAATTTGGGGGGTGGGAGCATCGTTCTCTACAGGACCCGACACATATAGGAGTTAACTTAATTTACCCTCCCCCCAAGACTAACTCTTACCTATACCTAACCCAAACACTAGACAAACGTCTAATTTTGAATTAAAATAAACACTGACCTAATTTAACCATAGCATCAACTAAACACTGAAATATTGCAAGTTTTACATGGATAGTAAAATTGTTTTTTGGAAGACATTCATGGCCTTAATCATGAAATGAATTTGTATCAGAACGACAGTTACTTCAGAGTAAATTCGTCTTTGGTTAAAATGTTCTCTTTCTTTTGCTTTAATAAATGCTCGAAGTTTGCTGAAATCTTTTGAAATTAAAGTTTTAACTCACCGTTAGTTACATATCAATAAACTGCTAATAAAAAATAAATTAGGCCGTTGGTTATCCCAATTGAATTGATTCATATTTTTCATGTCGGGTTTGGGGATTTTCTCATTGTTGAAGGCCGTCCGGTTGCCGATGATTGCTTACATCCACTTCATTTTAACTCTCATTGACAATCATAACACATCTCCTTAATTTTTCACGACAAAATGTTGTTAATACCGCAAAGTAGGCGTTTAATGGTGCGATAATGCTTATTCCCTCATTATTTTTTTCTAGCTACCTCGTCTAAGGACTTTGATCTGACAATGATGATATGTCTGCTGCGCAATCTAGGAGGTTTATCCTCGCCCTGCAATGGGTGGGATCAACTTCCGCTTCCGAATGATACGTCATCGGGAGCTGACTTGGCTACACTGAAATGGTACAGAAATCAGTTGGCCCATACGACAGTTATTACTATGGATAACAATGAATTCACAGAAAAGTGGTCTCAAGTCGAAAAGGTACGTTGTGACAACAAAAGCATATTTCTTCATTTTGTTCAGATGATAGCCATTGTAATTTAAAAGACATGAAACTAAAAGTAAACGGGTTAAGAATACACGGGTTGCTTCAGCTAATGTACAAGAGGTTCAAGATTAATTCGAGTACCCGTGAGAGGAATAGATTCTGAAAAATTAGCTGGCGATATTCTTTGTTACTTGTACACCTTGTGTTATGTATAAAATGCACTTTACACAAGATCATCGGAAACAAACAGTTGTTTGATTCATTATAATTTACTAAATGGCAAATTGTAAACAAAATCATATGAGCAATGCTGCTGCATACATTTGGAAAAAAATAGCAGGCTTATAATTGTGTACACCAGACCCTTGTTTTATCTATAAAAGACTCAACAGCGACGCTCGAATCAAAAATGATAAAAGGCCAAATAAAATATGAAAGATGGTTAGGTTTATTATACGTTCTTCTCTAATGAAGAGCCGTTACATTTTGATGCTGTATGAAAATTAACGGCAGATGGCGTTAAATATCAACAGTTGGAAGGTCTTCGTGTTAAACATGACAACCTAAAGAATAGAAGAACAACTGATTGATGCCGAATGCTTTTTCTAATTACAAACCCAAAATTTAAATTATGAAATGTTTTAAAAGGTAATATGCCCTTTTAGAGAATAGATTTATCATCAATTACTTGTATGCTCTTCTCATTTTAGGCATTAACATCTTTAAATAAAAGTCAAAGACCACCCGAGGTCACTGAAATCTTGAATTACGATCTTGATGGAGAGCAAGCAAAAATATTAGCAAACACAGAACTGAGGCAACTAAAAAAACAATACATGGATTGTGAAAAGGAAAAAGAGCAAATAGAAAGTGATTTAGCTTATTACAGGGAAGGAAATCTTCCGAAAAACATTGCAGGTTTGTTTCAATCTTATCAATAAATCAAGTTTAAATCGTCTCTTATTTGTTGTAAGTTCATTTTCTTCTTGTTATCTCTAATTTACGGGCCTTTTTTAGTTGACTATGCGGTATGGGCTTTGCTCATTGTTGACGGCCGTACGGTGTTAATTTCTGTGTCATTTGGTCTCTTGTGAAGAGTTGTCTCGTTGGCAATTATACCACATCTTCTTATTTTTAAATTCTATGTATATAGTTGATTGTAAATGGATGTGGTGTGGTTTAGTTAATAACATTATGTATCCGATGATGTGTTGACTTTTTACTATAAAAGCTCACTAAATTAGTTGACTGGTTGACAGAGGAAGAGGAATATTGTCCCCTGGACTTCTCCAGTCCGACAGGAAGAACCTTGCAAAAGAGACGGGATGGTGCGGGGTGCATGATTATGCAGCCAAGACTGGTCCAAATGAGAATTGTGAATTCTTTTGATGCCCTGGGTTTGAAGAGTGTCAAGCCCTCCAAACGTCATATAATCATTCCGATAACTCTTGGTGGGGTCTGTCCAACAGAACCTCTTTTTCGAATCCGAAATTCCATTTCTTCACCCCTGTCTATGCACTCTGTAGGACCTATTCAATTAATGAATAATTATTGTTAAATGTGTTCTCGTCCTGAATATGAATAAGATATTTGCCACTGTGCATTAAATAAACAAACAATCAATCACTACTAAGTTGGATATTGTAAGGAAGGAGGACCTTCAAACATTTCAAAGGCAAAACAAAAATAGTGTTTTGTGAACTGTTGGTTGTCTTTCGTCTTTTTCGTCCCCAAACAGTAAAGCCAAATAGGGCATATGTCCGTCCGTCTGTTAGTCAGTCGGTAACACTTAAGTGTTCGGTACTTGTTTCCATTATGATTAAATCAATTGCTAAGATTGATTGATTGATTGATTGATTGATTGATTGCCTCTTGCTTAACGCCAAGTGGAATAAAATGCATGTACATTCAGAAGAAGAACACATAAACAATAAATACAATAGGGAGTTTCAGCAATATAGGTCGACCAGAATGAAGGGCGGGAAGTTTGGACTGCCATTGAAAAATACGTGTATGTTGGAAAGGGGCATTCATTTCGCTCAATTGGTTAGATTTATTGACTGAGTGTTGGTTTTTAACGCCACTTTAAACCCTCTTTCATATATGGTGGGTGATCAGTAGTGCCAGGGAAAATGGCAATCCTAGTCAATTAAGATTGGAGTCGAACGCACAGCACCTGCCACTAGCGGGGTTTGAATTCTTAACCTTAGTATTGTCAGAATTGTAGATCTGTAGATGAACTACTCAATTGAGTAGATACTTCCATGCTGGTATATCATAAAAACGTTTCAGATACAGTTCGAATTTCGTTCTAATTGTGTGAATTATTCGGATGTCGTGTCCCTCGGACATAGGAAATGTTTTGAAAATATCTGTTTCCACCTCTTATCTGTTATTCTTTGATTAGTTGATTAGCTATTTGGTATAAAAGCTAGAGTGCTACGGTCATTGGAAACTGGAAAAATATCGCGCTTTTCTCTGCTATGCCCCTACTAGAGAAAAGAGTGGAAAGCTGGTATTTTCAACCAGTTTTCCGCACCATTGACTTCCTGTTTTTTATTCTTTTAGTCATTTTATAAGAATCAGAAACAGTTTGAGTTTAAGGTTTGTTACAGTTGGGCAATTGCTGCAGAAGTTGTGGCCTTATGACATCTAACATTGCTTAAACAATATGTATTAAAATCTTTTTTTTGTATGCTTTTTATTTGTCACACGCTTATATTTGCTTATATGACAATCAAGAGTTTAAATATTAAACAGTTAACACAGGCGGTTAGTAGATTCAAAGGTTGTTCAAAGCTTAATTTATTTGTAAATTATGACCTCTCCATAGACAAAAGGAAAACTACTGGATTTGCGAATTGGGAACTGCGACACCATATTGTTCCAATGATAAAATGGTAGAGGTATTATATTTTGTCCTTTCTCTAGCTCGTTGAATGTGATGAATACTTTCAACTCTGCTCCTTGACGTAGACATAGTCATGATCATCGTCGTCATACATCACATACTGTCCGTAATGTCTCTACAAATGACCTTCTACAATTGATTCATCTTTGTATAACTTATATTTGGAAACCACTGATACAAACCCTTATCCAAACCAATATACATGTAAAGTTATAGCTAACATCTCGGATATTGTCAGTCACAGACTTTTCAGACTGGTTCGCATTTGAAAAGAAATTTCTTCGTTCTTTAACTTTCCACCAACTTGTGCAATTTCCTTCAATATAAATCAGTTTACTCGAAAAGACCTCCCTACTTTAAAAGATCAGTTTGTACCTTTCATTTCTTTTACCTATACCAAACCGATTGCGACTAAGATTTTCAACTACAAACACGTGTTGCAGGATATCAATATTGATGACTTCAAGTCAAACTCTCCGGATTGCAGCTGTGGTAGTTCCCTATTCATATAGAACCCAACTGTCCACGTTATTACTGGTGATACGAACATTGTCAATAACAATTCTCAGCGAAATGTGTTATCCAAAGCCCCGACCTATCGTAAGCCTAAATTCATCAATTGAAAACACAACTTCAAAATACTGATGGATTTAGTCGAGGATTATGCCAGGCAATGGGCTGAAAGCATAAAAAAGATGTAGAAACTCTTTCCGAATGTGTAAGGCTGTGAAGTCGTTGTTACAAATTAGAATTCTAAAACTGAAAGGGTCTATGAATACAAACTCTACATCGATCTTAAAAGACAAAAATGTAGCTAAGCACCTGTTCTACCTCTATGACAAATATGTTGTTGTCCCCGGAGATAAAGCCCCCAACAACATCGTGTATGTGTGTAAATCACATTACATTAACTGCTTGATAAAGGAAGACGGTAATGACAATTCACATCAAAACTCAGCATATATCCTCATGACATTTACCAAAGAGAAAATCATGAATAATCACAGGTTTGTTATATGTTCCTTTGGAATTTCAAGCAAAGAATAAGAACTAGATTTATCTTCATTGCATTTGATACCTAAATTATGTATATACATATAAGTGTCCTCACAAACAGGGTTTTCCAAGTGCTCCACGAAACCTCTGTCTAAATTATTAACATCAATTTAATCAACAATAATAGGCGCGCTTCACAGTTATGATGAAACTACCTACTCTTGGGTGGAGTAAATCAGATGTGGATATTACAGAATTCCACAAATCTGTTAAAATACATACAAATTTAAGTCTCTTTCCTCTTGCACTAGTATTAAACATTTGACTTTTCTAACTATTACACAAGTATTCCCAAACTAAAAGACAAATTGAAATAGTTGGTCCTGCTATGTTTCATAGAAGAGAATGACCAACGTGTCTTAGGGAGTGATGAATCGTACTTTGTAGAAAATATTCGAATTCAAAGAAAAATTCTCTAAAACTGACATTATCGCGATGCTTGATTTTTTATTGACAATACATTTTCTCCGTTTGGATGACGTGTTTTTAATGATCAATCGGCACTCCCATGGAAACCAACTGTGTCCTCTTCTTGCAGACTTGTTCCTTTATTCACATGAGGAACACTTCATACAAGAGCTTCTTAGGAAGAATGGAAAAATAGCATTATCCTTTTACTGCACGTTCTGCCATATAGATGATGTCTTCTCAATAAATAATTCTAATGTTGGTTACTATGTTGAACGCATCCATCTAATCAAACTTGAAATAAAGGATTCAACAGATAGAGTTAAGTCTGCATCATATTTTGACTTACATCTGGAAGTTGACATCGAGGGTCAGTTGAAAACAAAACTTTACGACAAAAAAGATAATATTAGCTTCGATGAAGTTTGTGTTTAAAGAGAACCACTTAAGATAAGTCAATGGTATTTTGTATGCAGTTGTATTAGCATTGGCATTTCTCATTTCCACGGCAGATATTTGGCCTTGCACATTCAGTCATGGTTCATTGACTTTGAATGTTTTGCAGAGATAATATATTAAAGCATTGTCATTTTAATTTCAACACTTGCATAATTCTATCAAAATTACATAAAGGTGAGACATATCTCTGTGTCAACAGTTTATTCTCACATCTTGAGGTATGCCCTTGATAATGTAGAAAATAACCTTGATAATGTAGAAAATTACCAAGTTTAGGGTTTCTATATTAGTTGAGTATGCGTCTATATCAAAAAAGTAAAACAAAATACCGAACTCCAAGGAAAATTCAAAACGGATAGTCCCTTAACAATTGGCAAAATCAAAAGCTCAAACACATCATACGAATGGAAAATGTACCTGACTTGTTACAGGCTTCAACTTAAATTTTAATATGATCTATTGAACATTTAAATATACAGATTTCTTAATTATTGTATCAGATAATTTATAACCTAAACAATGTGGAAAGTATCCTTATTTGGAGTATCAATTATTGATTATATAATTGATTTTTAACAGATGTGAATGCAACATTGGTGGAAACATGGCTAAAAGATGACACAAGTTTTTATGAGACAAAGGGATCAGAACTTGTTTATGATAAAGTAAAGGATTGTAGCTGTACTTTGGTGACATCCAATTCAGGATTAGGAAAGACAGCCACCATCAGACATATCGCATTAAAATTTAAACGTGAAGGCTTTGAAATTGTTCCCGTAGAGTCCCCAAAGGATATAATCAAATACAGGACAAAACAAAAACAAGTGTTTCTTATTGATGATGTTCTTGGTAAATACGATTTGAGTCCGACACTGTTGGATAAATGGGAAAGAATGAACGAAAAGCTAATAAGCTGCCTGGAAACAAAGTTCGGTTCAAACAAACTATTGTGTACACTGAGATCACAAATAGCAGTCCATAAAAGATTTAAAAACGCATTGACAATTTTAAACAAAGAAGTCATAAATTTAGAGCGCGAGTCTAATGCCCTTTCAAACGAGGAAAAGGAGAAAATATTTATTGAACATCTTAAGAAAAATAACTTAGAAAAGGAAATTAAAACAGGTGAGGTAGAGATAATTTGTAAAACGAATTATGCATTTCCTCTTCTTTGCAGATTGGTTTCAATTGACGAGGAAAGATTCAGAAAAAGAATTGCATTCTTTAGGCAACCATTATCACTGTTAAGGAATGAAATTGATAGAATAAGTAATGAAAATAAGAAGCTATACTGCATTTTGGTGATATGTATGTTGTATAATGGTTTATTGAGTAAAAGTATATTTGATATTGACTCAGATGAATACGATGCGAAAATACACCGAATAATGCAAACTTGCGGACTTCAAAGAAACATGCATAAAACAGAACTTAAAGATAGCGCTCTTTCTGCAGTAGGATCTTATCTAACCAAGGACATTTATAATTTCCGGTTTATTCACGATGCTCTTGAAGAGATTACAGGCTGTCATTTCTATGCGTTTGATCCCAGAGTAATGTTTTCGGACTGTGATATCTTCTTTATTAGAGATCGAGACAGAGTTCATGCCAATGAAAACATGATTGAAAATGGTGATGAAAATATTGTGATTATTAGGGAAGATGAATTGAATAGTCTTACACCTTTATATACGAGATTGTGGACTGAATTAAGCAATGGGAGATTTTCAAGTGTGTTGATGAGTCACCTTTTTAAGAATAAAAATTTTGTTCGTATATTTGGAACACATTTTGAAGATAATCAGAGCATACTGGGATCAATAAATACTTTTTTAAAGATTGTAAGTTCCGAGCGGAGAGAGAGTGGCGACCAGTCAGTCTTTAACAAGTTTTTAAAGATTCTATCCAATGATGAATTACAAGATAAAAAAGATGCCATTAGTCGAGTTATAGAGGCTATACCTTTCAGAAGTACACTTATGTACTGGATTGTAGCTTTTGGCTGCTATGAATTCTTTCAATATGCTTGGAGTAAGATTACAACTTTAGATCGTAATTGGATGTTGGCTAGCGATTATATTTTCCTACCCCCAGTAAAACCCTTCTTTCCCCTGGCTGTTCTGGGTGGAAGCTTAGATATTGTAACAGAACTAATTCGTTCCGGTGCAGATGTTAACTGCTTTTCCGAATTTTGGGAAACACCTTTATATATAGCAGTTAAATCAGGCCGGTATGATATGGTACACTTACTGGTGAGAAATGAAGCACAGGTAAACCTTAGAGGATGGTTTACAATGAATATCCCAATTGCGGTTACTTCAAACAAACACGAATTAAATAGTTTGATTCTTGAATATGATTCGAACAAAACAGAGTTTCATGAAGCTGTCCGACATAACGACTTAAAACATTTGAGATCAAATATTCGATCAGAGAATATTGATTCTAAAACAAAAAGCGGATGGACAGTCCTACATTACGCTGTATTATTAAAAAATTTAGAAGCTGTGAAGGTTTTGTTCCATGAAGAACTGCCCCAAAACGAAGATTCCAATTTTGACTTGACGCAAGTTGACCAAGGAGAATTTGTGTGTAGAAAGCGGACACCTAAAGTAAGCATACCTGACAATAATGGACTAACTGCTGTCCATCTAGCAGTTATTACAAATAATATCGATATACTATCTATTTTGCTTCGTAATAAAGCTGAAGTAAAGGTTCGTGATGTATTTGATAGAACCCCTTTACATTACATAACGAGTGAAAGTGCAACAAAAACATTGCTCACTCATACCTCTCGGAACCAGCGCATAGAGACTAATCGAAACGTAGGGGAGGATATAGAGTATACAAATTCACCGATACCATCTTTCGGGGTCATGTGTTTTAATATCACTCTAAAAACTTCTTTCAGAAATGTTTTTCGTGACTGTGTAAACATGCCAGACTGGGAGGGTAATACCCCCTTACATTCTGTTATTAAGAGGCGCCTTCTAAAAGAGGAAAGCAGTATTTGTATAGAAACGTTGCTGGAATATGGCGCAAATCCGTATTTACTTAATGACAGTAACACTTCAGCATTAGAGTTAATCAAAAGCAGTTGTGATACAGCCAAATACATAAACAATAGTGAAAAATATAGACAATCAATTGAGACGACTTATAAAGTTTTTGCTTTAGTCATGTTCTTCTTAATGGGAGTGACTTTTGGCCTAACTATATATCTTTCCTCTGTTATTAGAAAGGAAAGTCAAAATGCATTTTTTTGCGTTAGCCATGCCAAAGAATCTGGTAGTATATCCTTGGTGCAGGTGACGAGAAGCATAAACGTTGTATTACTCACTTTTGTACTTCTTTGGATATTATCAATAACGTTTTACATGAGGTATTCAGATATCATTCGGCGATTTTTATTTTTGTTTTTTGTATTAATACTATTAGGGGGTATTTTATTCATATTATTTGGTGCGTTTGCATACATTCAAATCATATACCAGTTTATGTATTCAATGTTTTACGGTGTTATTTTGTGTTCGATACTTATAAAAATGTTGTTTGTTTTAAAAAATGTAGCATTAGCATCAGTAAATTTAAAAACAGGGAATATACATTTTCTAATGTATTTATTCATTCCAATCATTTTTATTTTCTTACTGTTTGTTTTATCTATTACATCTAGTGATAACCAACAATTCGACAATTTCTATACCATGAACAATATAAATACACTGAACATAGCAGCTCCAAATTGTACAGAATTTAGTACTGTAAATATCTCATGTAAAAGTTTAACTTATAATAATACTTATAAAAATGGTGTCGATTTCTCTGTACAGTGTAGTATTGTGCCAAATGTTACAGGTTTTAATGGTACACATGGAACACTTACAGTGGAATCAGGAGTAATAGACTTGTCAGAAATAGGACTCATGTCTTTGTTTTGTTTGAATCTTTCGTTACATGCAACATGTGCTTATAGTTTTTTAAACAGTATGTTTGTAGTATTTGTTAAGAAAATACTCAGAGGGAATTTCGATAAAATGATCCCGTTTATGAATGGACTGGCAGTGATGTTTTTATATGTAGATATATTGTGTCAATTTATGTTTGTATTTGTGAATTAGTTTGAGAGAATGTTGTAGAAAATAAATAAAAACTGAAACAATAACGACTTAGAATAATATATATGTCATGTGACCAAATCAATCCAACAAATCATGAATTTCCTCAAAATAATTATCCTGTGATGTTTAGGAGTCATAAAAACATACCAAGGAATATTTAAAGTAAAACCGTCAGGTAAACATGTCAAAGTATACCGTGAGTGAAACAATGATTATAAAGGTTTATCATGAACTTGTTTACATAACATGTAAAACATCACAGGATACTCATGGTCTCACAACAGGTATACCATGATCTGTTTACCTGATATGTAAAACATCACAGGATAATCATGGTCTCACAACAGGTATACCATGATCTGTTTACCTGACATGTAAAACATCACAGGATACTCATGGTCTCACAACAGGTATACCATGATCTGTTTAACTGACATGTAAAACATCACAGGATACTCATGGTCTCACAACAGGTATACCATGATCTGTTTACCTGACATGTAAAACATCACAGGATACTCATGGTGTCAGAACAGGTATACCGTGATCTGTTTACCTGACATGTAAAACATCACAGGATAATCATGGTCTCACAACAGGTATACCGTGATCTGTTTACCTGACATGTAAAACATCACAGGATACTCATGGTCTCACAACAGGTATACCATGATCTGTTTACCTGACATGTAAAACATCACAGGATACTCATGGTCTCACAACAAGTATACCATGATCTGTTTAACTGACATGTAAAACATCACAGGATACTCATGGTCTCACAACAGGTATATCATGATCTGTTTACCTGACATGTAAAACATCACAGGATACTCATGGTCTCACAACAGGTATACCATGATCTGTTTAACTGACATGTAAAACATCACAGGATACTCATGGTCTCACAACAGGTATACCATGATCTGTTTACCTGACATGTAAAACATCACAGGATACTCATGGTCTCACAACAGGTATACCATGATCTGTTTAACTGACATGTAAAACATCACAGGATACTCATGGTCTCACAACAGGTATACCATGATCTGTTTACCTGACATGTAAAACATCACAGGATACTCATGGTCTCACAACGGGTATACCATGATCTGTTTACATAACAGGTAAAACATCACAGGATACTCATGGTCTAACAACAGGAATACCATGATCTGTTTACATAACATGTAAAACATCACAGGATACTCATGGACTCACAACAGGAATACCATGATCTGTTTACCTGACATGTAAAACATCACAGGATACTCATGGTCTCACAACGGGTATACCATGATCTGTTTACCTGACATGTAAAACATCACAGGATACTCATGGTCTCACAACAGGTATACCATGATCTGTTTACCTGACATGTAAATATCACAGGATACTCATGGTCTCACAACAGGTATACCATGATCTGTTTACTTGACATGTAATACATCACAGGATACTCATGGTCTCACAACAGGTATACCATGATCTGTTTACCTGACAGGTAAAATATCACATGATAATCATGGTTGAACTAAAGGTTTACCATGATCTGTTTGCCTGACATGTAAAATATCACATGATAATCATGGTTGAACTAAAGGTTTACCATGATCTGTTTGCCTGACATGAAAACATCACATGATAATCATGGTCTCACAACAGGAATACCATGATCGGTTTACCTGACGTGTAAAACATTACATGATAATCCTGGTTGAACTAAAGGTTTACCATGACACGTTTTCCTGACAGGTAAAACATCTCAAGGTAATCATGGCCCCAATAAAGGCATAACTTGACATGTTTACCTGACATGTAATACGTGACAGGATACTCTTAGTTACACTGAAGGTACACCATTACATGTATAACTGACAGGTTAAACATCACAGGATAATCATTTTTTCACTAAAGGTATACCAAGACATGTTTACCTGACGGGTAGAACATCATATGATAATCACGGTTTCACTAAAGGTATACCAAGACACGTTTACCTGACAGGTAAAACATCACAGAATAATCATGGTTTCATTAAAGGTATACCATGACACGTTTATCTGACAGGTAAAACATCACAGAATAATCATGGTTTCATTAAAGGTATACCAAGACACGTTTACCTGACAGGTAAAACATCACAGAATATTCATGGTTTCACTAAAGGTATACCAAGAAACGTTTACCTGACAGGTAAAACATCACAGAATAATCATGGTTTCACTACAGGTATACCATGAAACGTTTACCTGACAGGTAAAACATCACAGAATAATCATGGTTTCACTACAGGTATACCATGAAACGTTTACCTGACAGGTAAAACATCACAGAATAATCATGGTGTCACTAAAGGTATACCATGACACGTTTACCTGACAGGTAAAATATCACAGAATAATCATGGTTTCATTAAAGGTATACCAAGACACGTTTATCTGACAGGTAAAACATCACATGATAATCACGGTTTCACCAAAGGTTTACCTTGACATGTTACCTGACATGTAAAACATCACAGGATAATACTAGTTTCACTTAAGGTATACCATGCCATGTTCACCTTACAGATAAAACATCACAAGATAATCATGGTTTCACTAAAGGTTAACCTTGACATGTTTACCTGACAGGTAAAATATTAAAGATAATCATGGTTTCACTAAAGGTTTACCTTGACATGTTTACCTGACAGTTAAAACATCACAGGATTCTCATGGTGTCACTGAAGGTATACCAAGACATGTTTACCTGACAGGTAAAACATCACAGGATTTTATGATGTCACATAAGATATACCTAGACATGTTAACCTGACAGTTTATACTGTATATAGCCTTAGGGAACTAGATTTGTAATGTCACCATGTGAAGTCCCGCAGAGTTTAAACGTTTCATTTAGGAACCCAACTCTTATATGGAAGAAGAAGGTAAAACATCAGAGGATTCTCATGGTGTCACTGAAGGTATACCAAGACATGTTTACCTGAAACTTTAACATTACAGGATAACCATGGTTTCATTAAAGGTATACCGAGACATGTTTACCCGACAGGTAGAACATCACAGTATAATCATTGTTTCACTAAAGGTATACCAAGACACGTTTACCTGACAGGTAAAACATTACAGGATACAACTGGTTTCATTTAAGGTATACCGAGACATGTTTACCTGACAGGTAGAACATAATATGATAATTATGGTTTCACTAAAGGTATACCAAGACATGTTTACCTGACATAGTTGTATACCTCTACATCTACATCATTTGGACACAGTGTATTGTGTATTGTGTATACAATACGCTAATAAATAGATTCTTATGATGTATAATCATGAGATGAGATGCTATAATGTCTCCATGGTGATAAATATATATTATTTGTACTTACAGTCGTGATATGAAATAACTGTTTAAAACTGAATTAAAAATTAAAAAAAAACAAAAAAAAAACAAATAGGCTCATTATGATCAAATAAAAATATGGAAGCACACCTTATGATATTTTTGAAACATTTCAATCTATATAAGAACCATTTTACAAAATAAATGCATCTGAATTCATGTATTATTGTTAACGTCATCAGTTATGTATCACAACAAGCCCCTGATAATAAGTGATGCCTGGTCGATCGATGATGTAACATTACTAGTGATGCTTCATCAACCCTCAAGTTAACCTTTGACTGGTATACGTCATCAAATTAAAAATCCCCCTGCGTACACAGATATTCATGATTTTGTACTAATCTATTTCTCACGACAAAACATATTACAAATAAATGTTCGTAAAAAATGTTTTCATGAAATTTCATTGATAAGTGTTTACAGTTTTAACATGTTTAAAAGCACAACTCAGGAAAACGATAGGCCAATGGGAACAGTCACAACCTTCCTCTTTCAGTAACAACATGGTAAAACTATAAGAGTTGTTCAAAGTAGATGAGACTTGGTAGCATGTTCGCCTCGAGTGCGTTAGGTGGTGTGTTCGAAGCCCTACCGGGTCAAACCAAAGACTTTAAAATTGGTATTTGCTATTTCTCCGCTAAGAACGCGGCAATAAGGAGTAAGATCAAAGATTGGACGGTTCGGAGTCAGAATAATGTGCCCGGCTCAGCGTGTTTGTCTAGTACTAATCAGGGTTAAATTTCATATAACATAAACATGTTCTTGTCCTGAATATGCATTTAATTTGCCGCTGGACGTTAAACAGCAATCCATCTATCATCATCAGAAGTAGAAGAAGTAGAAGAAATTGCCAGTTAGCATTACTTCGGATTTCATGTAACATAATAAAAAGGAGAGAATAAATAAAACTAGAGGCTCCAAGGAGCCTGTGTCGCTCACCTGATATTTTTGTTTATAATTGATGCATGAAATAATGCAACCATTATACTTTTGCTTTAGTTTCAGAGATATAAGCCAAAAACTGCGTTTTACCCCTATGTTCTATTTTTAGCCATGTCGGCCATGTTCGTTAACAGGCGGGGTCATTGGACACATTTTTTAAACTAAATACCCAAATGATGATTGTAGCCAAGTTTGGATATATTTGTCTCAGTAGTTTCAGAGGAGAAGATTTTTGTAAAAGGTTAAAAATAGACTTTAAAGGGCAATAAGTCCTTAAGGGGTCAATTGATAATTTTGGTCATGTTGACTTATTTGTAGATCTTACTTTGCTAAACATTATTGCTGTAAACAGTTTATCTCTATCTATAATAATATTCAAGATAGTAACCAAAAACTGCAAAATTTCCTTAAAATTACCAATTGAGGGACAGCAACCCAACAACGGGTTGTCCGATTCGTCTGAAATTTCAGGGAAGATAGATCTCAACCTGCTGAACATTTTTATCTGTCAGATTTACTCTAAATGCTTTATTTTTAGAGATATATGCAAAAAACTGCATTTTACTCCTATGTTCTATTTTTAGCCATGGAGGCCATGTTGGTTGGCAGGCGAGGTCGTCGGTCACATTTTTTAAACTAGATACCCAAATGATGATTGTGGCCAACTTTGGTT